CATATTTCAGATGGACGTGAAGTGTGCATTCCTAAATGGACCCTTAGACGAAGAAGTTTATGTTGCACAACCAGTTGGATTTATGAAGCATGGCGAAGAGAGAAAGGTATACAGGTTGCATAAAGCCATGTATGGACTCAAACAAGCTCCAAGATCTTGGAATAAGAAAATAGATAGTTTTCTAAGGGAGAAGGAATTTGTGAAGTGCACAACTGAACCTGAAGTATATGTAAGAATAAGCAATATTGAATTGATTATACTATGTCTCTATGTTGATGACTTGTTAATAGCAGGTAGCTGCAAGAAGGAGATCAAAGACTTCAAAGGTGATCTCAACAAGGAATGTGAAATGTCTGATATGGGTGACATTTCATATTTCCTTGGCATCGAATTCTACAAGAGAAATAGAGGTTTGATGATGCATCAAAAAAGATATGCAGGAGAAATTCTCAAGAGATTTGAGATGGAAGAATGCAACTCGACTTTGACACCTGCAGAACCAAGATTACAACTGTCGAAAGAGTCAGAAGAAGATGATGTCGACCCAACCCAATACAAAAGACTTATTGGGTTATTAAGATACATTTGTCACACAAGGTCTGACTTAGCATACAATGTAGGTATAGTGAGTAGATTCATGCAGAAGCCAAATGTATCACACCTAGCAACAACAAAGAGGATACTGAGATATCTGAAAGGAACTCTCGACTATGGCATTGTGTTCCTGCGAATGATAAAGGAAAAAAATACAAGTTAGTGGCGTACACTAATTCAAGTTAGTGTAGTGATGTTGAGGATAAAAAATCCATAATAGGATATGTGTTTATGCTAGGTGATGCACCCGTTTCTTGGAGTTCGAGAAAGAAACTAGTAGTGACATTATCATCATGTAAAGAAGAGTACATAAATGTTTCTCTTTGTGCATGTAAAACAACATGGATGGTGAACTTGGTGAAAGAAATTACATGGAAAGATCATGGAGAAATTACCATGAAGATCGACAACATGTTAATTATCAATCTGGCGAAGAATCTGATAGCACATGGTCGAAGCAAACACATCAAGACGAGGTTCCATTATCTTTAAGAGCATGTATCAGAAAGGAAGATAAAGATGAAATACTGTAGAATTGAGAATCAAATTGCAGACATCATGACGAAGGATGTGTAGGTTGAAGTGTTCAGAAGACTAAGAGCTATGATGAATATAGATAGCTTAGACACAATGAATTGGGTGGTGTATTGAAAATGTAATTCCTTGTATCTAAGTAGGTTGTTGCTTGACACAAGGTGTGTCAAAGTAGGTTGTTGCTCGACACAAAGTGTGTCGAAGAAGATTGTTACTCGACACAAGGTGTGTCAAATAGCTTAGTATATTGAGTTGTTAGTTGTCGAAGTGTTGTAAGCAGGTTGCTACACACGGATTTTGATTTAGGTCTAAAATATGTATTTTGCGCTTTTATAGTTTTGAGATTTTTGACTTAGGAAGAAAGCAAACTCAATTATAAATAGAGGGAGTAACCCCTATTTTTGAAAGAACCAACACAACTTGTATTCACAGAATTTTGCAGTTGCAAAATGAATAAAGATTTTCCACAGTTTATGGACAGAGAGAAACTCTACAGAAACTCTAATCTCTTTTCTTCTTTAATTTTCTTTTCTTTTCATAGTTATTGTAAAGTGATAACAATCTTGTTCATCAAGATTGATCGAAATTCTCCATAAACTTTAATAGATTTTCAACAGAGGCGAGAGAATGCAGTTGCACCCTTAAGATTTTAAAACTACATAAATAGCATTCACTTTTATCTTATAATAAAAATTACATTACACTAAATGCACCCCCTGAACTTTACTAATTTCTAACAAGTTGACATATTGCACCCATGTTATGGATTAAGCCCATAAAATTGTTACTACACCAACATTATTCTTATTGTATCATCATTAATTTCATATCAAAATTTTAAAATCTCTCATTTCTATTGTTCTTTTATCATCTCTTTGTTTTGAAATAAATACTATTTTATATTTTAAAAATATTCATCAGTCAACACATACAAAATAAATAATGAAATAGAAGAAATATGATAATTCAAGTCGAAACACATAATTTCTGATAAAATATTTTCAAAACTAATTTGCTAAGATATTCCAATATAACTTAAAATATTATATTTTAAATAAATAATGTTTGGCTGCTAAATATGAGATTACTTATTTTATTTTTATTTTTATTTTTATTTCCAAATCAATATTTTGTATATTATTTCCAAAATATTAGATTCCAGTATAATAGAATATGACTAAAACTTAATAGCCAATATAAATTTTGTATATAAAATAATGGTGTATAAAGGACGAGTTAGGTCAGGTCGTATATTCAATTCTAACATTAGATCAGATCAGTTTTATAAAATTGAATCCGAGTTAAAATAAGAAACGTAAATGATTCATATAATTAAAAAAGAAATTTGGCATTTATAAGATACTTTTGATTTTGAGTGTTTCTTTAATTTATTGATAGAGTAATATTGAGCGGATGGGATGTGTAACCTTGACAATAATTCAAATTAGTTTCTAATTTAACTATGTTCTTGTATTGTCTTCTAATTTTTGTCCATGTTTATTTTGAAGTTGATTAAACTCTCTCATAACATTTGAGTCGGGATGAATTATAAGATTAGAATGGGTCTTATACATCTTAATACAAAACAATAATTAATTAAGTAAAAAAATTTACACCCCTGACCTAAAGTTCTAGATCTGCCACTGGTGATTACCATCACCTACTATCATCGATCACCACTCTAATCACTGTCGATCATTATTCCATCCACCACATTCTGATCACTAATGACTAGGACTTTAAACACCATTTCAATCATCGACAACAATTAATTTGACCATTGACAACCACCATTTCCAACACAATTGACCACCACACCGACGATAAATAACCAACACTTCTTTCACCTATAATCATCAATCTAACCATCACCGACTATGACAGGATCATCAATCCAACCACTATTGATTACCATTATACCCATATATGATCACTAATCTGACTACCATCAACTACCATTATAATCACTACTCCAACCACTAGAAAACAACAATGCGGTCACCATCGACCACCATTATAGCCACTGTTGACCATCACTCTCACCATTGTTGATTATCACTTTGTACACTTTCGATCATCAATAATCATAACTTCAACCACTGTTCTAATTATTATTTATCACTATTTCATCTATCTTTGATTGTCAAACTAACTATTAAATGATTATCAATATGACCATCAACTTGACCACCACTTTGACTATTATCAATCTTTACATTTACTTCTGATCATCAACCTAACAATCATTAAATATTACTTTAACCACCACTCTGATCATCAACCTAACAATCATTGAATATTACTTTACCCACCACTCTGACCAACTAATAATAAACTTTTCTACCACCGTTAATCACCATTCCATCCTAAGCATCCGACCACTATCAACTACCACTTCAAAAACAACAATAACTACTATTAACCACCACAATTACCACTTATTTCTAATCCATATTATTGGTTTTGATAAATTAAATTATTATTATTTAAATAACTAATAAATAAATACTTACTTGTTATAATATTTATTTTTAATGTTTATCTTTAAAATTGATTTTGGTTTTGTAACATTAAAAACAGTTTTGATTTTAAAACTTTTCAAAACACAAAGTTGATATTAATTTTAGTTTTAAAAAATTTCAAAACATATAACAAAATAATCACTCCCCGAAAATTAAAATAATACTTTTATAATAGAAATGACAGTTTTCAAAAAAAAAAAATTAATAAAAAACCATTTTTCTTTAACTTGTCTATTCTTACATTTTCATTTATTTGTTATTTTATTTTATTATTATAAACAAAAGAAACGTGCAGCTATTGGGAACAGATTAAGATGATATTTTGGTTTTATAACCTCAAAAAAAAAAACCAATATACCATTTGCAATTTCTGCAGACATAATCATATTTTGGCACTAGTTGTATTATTGTTGAATTATTAATTAGTACTAGGTATTTTTTATTTATTTATAGTATTAAGTAATAGTATATTTGGAAGAAAAAAAGAATGAGACTGGGACGGCAAGTAATCTAACCATCTATGGTCGGTATACTGTAGACAATGTACCACTCACACTTATCACAAACATTCATTTTTCCAATATTGGAGACTACACTTTTACTTTACAAATATTCCAAATAAATCATTATGTAATCTTTAAATTATTCTCCTCATAAATTTAAATACAATAATTTTTTTTAAGGGAACCATAATTGAAAAGGAGTCAAGGTGTAATAATTTATTATTACCTTTTTCCATTTTTAAATTTATAAATAAAAGTCATTGTAATTATATATTTAGACTTTTATATTAGACTTTTAATAATTGATGATATAACTTTTGGTACTCTAACAAAATAATATATATTTTAATAAAATTAAATTGTTTGAATAAATTTTATGTTTTAATTCTAAAATTAAAGTTTGAATTTCTATATTTATTTGTAAAGTATTTATTCAATTTTAAAAAGATAAATTAAAGATCTAATATCTACTTTTTGACTGATTTCATTTAGTTTTTTGTATTGTCTTTTTGGTACTTTAATGTATTTTAAATCAGATTAGTGTTAATTTTTTTGTAGTCTTTCAAATATACTTTGTGTTTGAAGTATTATTTTCTGTTAGTAATATATTTCTTTAGCTTCTTCAAAAAAAATCTACTTACTTATCTTTATCAGTAGAAATTTTATGTTTTTAATCTTCCCCAATTAAAAAAAAAAAGATAATACCATTTCTTAGCCTCTAAATAAAATATAAAAATCTTATACAAAAAATATATAGATACAGTACATAAATAAAGACAAAAAATAACTAATGTACCATAACAATAAATAAAATAACAATAAAAACATTGTTGTTAAATAAGACTCTATGTCCCTGTCTCTGTTCTTCTTTGAAGGAAATTGGTTACAAACATTGCTCTTTCACTTCTACCATCTTCACCTTCAATTTTCAAAACCACTCAACTTCTTAGCTACTTTTAGGGTTCCTTTCATTCTCAATTTGATTCAAATTTGCTACTCAATTGTTGCTCAACTCTATCTATTCAGGGTAAGACTCATTATCATGTGAATTTTGAATTTGTTTTTCCTGAATTGGTTTCTGAATTGGATTATTGGGATGAGTTTAATTCTTTGAAATTCTTATGAATTATGAATTCAGTTGTGGAAAATTGAAATTATTTTTCATCAAATGAAATAAATACTTTTTTTTTTAGTTAGGTACTTTTTTTGATTTTTTTACCTTATTTAAAAATTTAGTTTAACCTAGTTCATCTTATGGAGAAAAAAGGGTTTTTTTTTTGGGGTATGATGCTGATTAATCCCAGCTTTGAAATTCAAGGTTCTTATTTTGGTTGATTTTTCTCCAATGGAGTACTTTCAGAAAGTTTTGAACTTCAAGCTTGAGTTATTCAATGGAGTACAAAACAATTTGTTTCATCAATTGGTTCATTTTTCAAGGAATAGATTAAAAAAAGCTTCTTTATTTTTTGGATTTTCTGCAATTGTTGCTTTTTTGGACTTGTTTGGAAATTCTTTACTCACAAGTCAATAATTTTCTATCTTGATCAACAATCTTTGGCTTGAAGATACTTTGATTTGTTTGTTACCTGTGTTGTTGTTTGTTGTTGATGTAATGGGGAGCACGAGCGAACGGAAACTTTTAGTTTTATTTTATATCATCACCAATTCACCATGCATGTTGTAATCTTCGGAAACCTTTTTTTCTCATGTCATTCTTGTGATTTATCTGTCTATATCATTCTCAACCTATAAAGTCTCTATTGCCTGTGAATTTATGGAAAAGAAAATAGCTGCATAACTTTTGACTTTACCAGTAAACAGCCAGAGCAAAGGACAAGGTTAGTTAGGTAAATTTAGGTTCTTGTTATTAATTATAGGACTTTAGATTATGAAATAGGGACCTTACAAATAAACAAGTTGGAACCAATAATGCTGCTGTGAAAGGGCCAAATGAAAAAAGTAAGAAAAATCAATTCTGCTGAATATAATAACATGGATGGAATATGGATAGTACTAGTATAGCTTTTGGTTATTCTGCTCGTGAGTAACCTACCGCAACTTTATTGGTTGGCATTTAATTAGTGATGTTTTGATGGCTTTTTTTTTAACATTAACTTTTTTGTAAGTTGTAAGAATTTTCTAAACTCTCTCTGAGCTTAATTGATTATTATCTTTGTCTCTCGAATACGTTTGTGAAACTGTTTATTCCATATCATTGTGAAGCTTGATGTCTGATACAGTTCAATCTCATTGTATTCACAGAAACATAAGATTCTTGGAGGTGATTCACTGTGATTTCTTTGTAGCAGAAGGTAAAGTACGTAGGACATGGGCTGCATTCTTTCGTCGCCAAATGATTCCGGTGGAAATCGAAGGAAGCCGGGGAGTATTGGAGATGTTTCTGTCTATGTTCCCGGTCTAAGAATTCCTAAACCTGTTGATTTTGCACAGTCACTTGGTGATTATTTGTCGAAGAGCACAGTGGAACGCTTGTCTGCTCTTAGAACTCGTATAGTTGTAATGGCTGGTCAAGAAGGTCCTACAGTTACAAGAACAAAACGAAAAAGTGCAACACAGCATGGTTAGTGTTAACAAGGACCGATCAATTTTTTTCATAATAAATATATATATTTTACTGATTTTTGTTGATGCATAACTCGATTTCATCCTTAGGAGGTTCGACATTGGCTGATCTTCTACAGGCTCTGGAAGACTACTTACCGGTACTTTTGGGATTAGTCGATGATGGTAATGCAGATTTTCGTCTGTTTGTATCTGATGCAAACTCTCTCACATAATGTCTTGATTAATTGCTTATCTTTTTTGTGCAGGAAGCAATTTACAATACAAAGTACAATTTATATGGGTGAATCAGGAGGATGAAGCAGAGGTAGTTTAGTTCCTGAATTGTTTTTCTTCCTTGTTAGTTTGGCTTTGATTCGAAAACTTAATTCTATATATGATGGATCTATTTTTTTCTCACTCTCTACTTTTCTTTCCTCTTTTGGTGCGATCAACACTTGCAGGAAACAGCCATGTCTAATGCTTGGTATGAAGTGTTGTCAGTTTTGCACTTGATGGCGACACTATTGTTATCACAGGCTAATTTATTACTTCTTCCAAGAACATCCACCGATGGCTCTCAGCCAAAAGTATCAGAAGGTGAGTAATATTGAAAAAAGTATTACATTTTGCTTATTACACCGAATAACCAACATACATTTTATTGGAGAATAGTTTAGGCCTTCAATTGAAACCCTATGTTCTTCTTCATTGAATCCCTTATGTCCACCTTTTCTGCTACGGAGTTTTAACATTCGGTAATTACTCATTACTAACAGAAAACAGACGAGCCTCTGTTGATATCTTCTTAAAGTCAGCTGGATATCTTGATTGTGCTGTCAGACATGTTCTTCCACAGTTGCCTGCTGAGATCAGGTTAATACATATATAATGCAACAAATTGAATGTCACGCCTTTGTGTAATCTAAACAACCTTTTTTTTCCTTCCAATTACTCTTCTCACTGCTGGTTCTGATTTTAGGAGAAATTTACCGGTAGATCTTGCAGAAGGAGTTCTTCAAGCACTCTGTCTACAAACATTGGGACAGGTATTAACGTTTTATTTTGTATGAACCTACCGAATCATTCTCCTTACGTCTTGAAGTTCGTTATGCATGTTTAAATTGGAATGCACATAGAATATGATTAAGAAATGGAAATAACATTTAGTGACTAAAATACTAACATGACTTGTTAATATTGATGGTGGCAAACCTCTTGTTCACTACTCTAGAGTATGTTGAATAATCAAGTAATTGACTACACGGAATTACTTTGGTAGGATTTATATTAAGTTTTTACTATGGGCCTACATCATCCTTACAAGATCGGCATGTAAGGTGAGAACTGCCCCAACTTGTATACTCATGTTCAGGTCTTATCTCATCAAATGTAGGACTCTTAATACACCCCCCTTATGTCCATAACTGGGCATTTGGAACATGACCCGAGTGGCCCGATAGTGGTGACCTGATAGCAGGTGACCAAACAAATCTTGAATAGGCTCTGATACCATACTATAATTTGAGTTAAGACTAACTCAAACCTTACAAAACCGACTTGAAAGGTGAAAAATGCATATATATTTATAAACTTATTTCACTTTTTTTTTCTCTATTTCATGTGGGACATGGGTTTTTCCTAATACACCCCATTACTCCCCGCACTATTGAGCTTGGGACATGGATATAGGGGGTAGGTGGTCTGATAAACAAACTTTGATATCTTTTATAATGAACCTACATCATCCTTACAAAACGGGCTTGTAAGATGAGGATTGCTCCAACTTATATACTCATGCCTAGGCCTTATATTATCAATGCTTAATAGGTTATTTATGTATCTTCTCTTAGAATTGATATCGGACTAGGCCTAACATAACTCCAAATTCTAGCTCAAGAGGTAAGGAATGTCCAAATAATCATAGGGGGTTTTAAGTCCATTTTCCCAAAAAAGAGTGATCTTAACCTATGACCCTCATGCTTAGGAATGGAAATCTGGAGCATGAAATTTGCACGAGTGGTAATCTGTGGGTGGCCTAACATTTGATCTAGGATAGCCTATGGTACCATACCATATTTTCACAACCCATATTTCCTAAAATCTTAGGTTTTTATATAGATGAACATAATTAGTTAATACTTTGTAAGTATATGGTGAACAACTAGTAAATGAAGTACAAGGATATGTGAGTCTTAACATCTTATTTTGCGTTAGAAATTAGTGTAAGTAGTCATTTTTTAAAGTGCATACATTTCAAATGACACGTAAATGAGACGATGAGAGTATACCGTCGTAGATTTTCTAAGAGTAGTTTAGTTGTCAATGACTGAACGTGGATATAGGAATCAATTTTAAAGAAGGCACAACCTGATGGTTGAGGAAGTAGGCTAGTTATAGAAAACAATTATTACACATTGAATAATATAATTGAAACTGGCATGTTTAAGTATCTTTCTTTGTTTCCCTAATTAAGAAATAAAGGAGGTTACATTAAAATTCAAGTCAAACTCTTATCGTAGTTATATATAAAGTATAAACTTTATGAACTGTGGGGTGATAAATAATGTTACGAAAGGATTTCAAGAGGGATATTGTCTCATGGTTGCATTCATTTTAATTTAATTAATTATGTTAATTCCTATTATATTTGTCTGGAGTAACTTATTTGCGACGGGGTTTGAGTCTGATGGCACACTTTTTCTATTTAAGAACTCGTATGATTCTATACCATCAAACTTGTGCATATTTAACTGTCCTGGTGAATCTCATGTAAAATGGTACCAATGTTGTATATTTAATTGTTTTGATAGGGTGTAGATATCCAACTTGGAATGGCAATTGATAGCACCAAAGCCACTCTTGCGGTGAAGCGTAGACTTGCATGTGAGATGGTGAAATATTGGCAACAGGTACAAATGTGAAGTTTTTAATCTATATAGTTCCGAACATATATCGATAGGCATATGTATCTAATGGGATCATTGAAACTGTCATAGTCTCAGTTATTTCTCAATTGATGTCATGTCCTATCTGTTTTATCCTCGGTTTCTGTAGGACATCTAACTTCTCTCTCTTTGTTTCAATTCTATATATAGCACGTGTGTGCATGTGAGTGCCCATTCGTATGCTAACATGAGCACGATTATTCAACATACAATACTAATCTTTAAACTCTTTTTCTTTCAGGCTCAAGATAATATTACAAACCTTCCGCTAGCAAATGGTTGGGGTGAAAAACACCGTCTTTATGTCAAATGGAAGTATATTGAATCAAAGGTTTGTGTTTTTGTGCCCTCAGTTCTTTTCCTTTTGCTAGTTGGTTATTATGTCTCATTGTTTAGTAGTATGAGTTGAACATAAAAGGAAATGTGAGTCAAGTTCTTCATAAGTAATTGACACGAGAAATCGATATCCCTAACAAATGAGTTACTTTCCTCATGTTAGCCTGTTATTGTAATATGTTTATTGTAATGATTTATCAGGCTGCGGCATATTATTATCATGGTTTGATTCTTGACGAGGGAAATACAGAAAAATCTCATGGGATGGCTGTAGCTGCTCTGCAAGCAGCAGATGAGTATTTCAAAGAAAGTAAGAAGCTCTGCGAGGCATTCAACGCAGCAGCTCCATTGTCAAGGTCATCATTACATTTCCTTGTTCTCACTGTTATGCTGTTAAATTTTCCCTCAGAGAAGAGGTTTTACTTACAATTTTCAAAAGCTCCTTGAGTAAATAATTTAAATTTGGAAAATAATTGTGTTGTTAAGGACAAGCTTGAACTAAAAGTGGTAGTTACTTTTAGAGTTCCCTTTATATTACTATAGTATAAATATGTTCCAACTCTTTGGCATGAACCACTTACCTTAGATATATTCTAAGAGCATTTTTCTAGGCACTATTCTAGTTGCACTATTTATGAATGAAATCTAGCTTTCTTCAACAAATAAAGTACTTTTGGTGGCATTTTTCTTGTTTACAGTCCACCTAACTAACAGTCATGATGCAGAAATCCACCACTTTGGGGGACCATGAAATACCTCTCTGAGAAAATTCCCAAGGATACTTCAAGCAAGGTTCGAATAAACCGTGATCTATACACTTACGAGAGGTAACTGAACTTTACTCAATAATTTTTTTCGCATAGTAAAATATGAAAAAGTACAAAGCCTAATAAATTTCAGAGATATCAATTCAGTGATAAGAGTTTGACCTTGTAGCTTTATTGAACGAAGTTCATATCTCTTTTGAGACAGTTGTAAAATGACCATTAGTATCACTTTAATTATTTCCTAATGTTGTAAATATTTTACCGATTACAGAATCATGGAAACGGCACCGACATTGCCTGACTTTGCGTTGGCCTTGAAACCGGATGATTATCAGCTTCCACAAGTGAGTCCTTCATGGAGAACTGAAAATTTGAAAGGAGAACAAAATGGCTCCCCCAACAACAATCTCAAGGGATGAAAATTGTACAAAAGTGAGCAATGTGAACTTAGCTTGAAGAAGAAGCAAAGGTGATTTTTCAATGCTTGTCAATGTCAGCAAGGGGACCAAATTCATTATTTCTGACTTTTCTTTCTCTTCATAAATCATCTTCCTTCCATTCTCTACAACATTTGAGGAAACCACATTTGTTAAACCAATTTGTATAAGTTGGTGTGTAAAATTGACTTGTGCTTTGCATGGAAAGAATGATTTCCTTTTAAGTGTTAAAATTTTAGAGAGTT